GCCCGCCCCGCCCCGCCCCGCCCGCCCCGCCCCGCCCCGCCGCGGGGGCCCGCAGCGCCGGCCGGGCCATGGCGGCGCTGGAGTGGTTCGCGCACAAGCCCCTGGGCGGCGGTATCTTTTGGATCCAGGAACGCTTCTACGAGTCGGGCAACCGGGCCAACATCTGGCTGGTGCGGGGCTCGCAGCGAGACGTGGTGATCGACGCGGGGCTGGGGCTGCGCAGCCTGCCTGCCTACCTGCGTGACGCCGGGCTGCTGGCGCCGGCTGAGGGCGCCGGGCCGAGGCCGCTGCTGGCCGTGGCAACCCACGTCCACTTCGACCACTCGGGCGGGCTGCAGCACTTCGAGGACGTGGCGGTGCACAGCGCCGAGGCGGCGGCGCTGCTCCAGGGCGACAACTACGAGGCCGTGACGTGGCTGTCGGAGCGGGAGGTGGCGCGGCCGCCGCGGCCCGGCTGGAGCGCCCGGCAGTACCGCGTCCCGCCCGTGCGGGCCTGCCGCATGCTGCACGAGGGTAAGGGGCAGCCCGGGACGGCGGGCACGGTGCTCGGGGTATTACGGAGCAGCTCTGTGCCGCCGAGCGCCTCTTGGCTTACCCAGCTCCTCCTATAACGTAATTAAATTGTGTCACTCCTGTGAGCCTAAAAGCCATCCGCAGTCGGCATGGGACCAAAAAGAGACATAGTGGGTTAAACCGTTTCTACCGGTTCTGAAAGTTTTGGCGGCCGGGCTTTTTTTCCATCTAGAATGAGAATCGCTCAGCATATGTTTTAGGTGACTAATTGAGTACCCCAGGTTTATCCTTAGACTTCAAACGGTATGTCAGCAGGTCATGTTCTGGCATCTGGTGATCTTTATTGTTTATAAGCTGTCAAAACATAGAAAGTGTAAATAACAGAACACTTCCTGAAATACATACTGAGAATACAGTATTGGTTTTACAGAATTTACATGAATTTTACATAAATACATTTGCTGAATTTTACCCGACTTACGTAAAATGTAAAAAATCACTTGTTACTGATGTAGTATTTACAGAAGTAGCTTGTTGCAGGTGAAAAAGATAATTTAGTCTCTAATGGGAGACAGTGACCAGGGTTTTTGGTTACAAAACACCTAAACTGTACAATACTGTCCAGCAGATGTTAAAGGGTGGGTGTCAGACCACCACATATTAGATCATCCCATATAGGTGCTGGAAAAGCAGAACTGAACTTACTGAAGGCTTCAATAAAGATTGGATGACATTTAACTATACTAATAGTTAAATAACTATAGTGATATTTAATTACAGTAAATCAACAGAAGTTTAAGTTGTCTTTTTTCCTCAAAAAGTAGGGAGGGAAGATTATTTTAAGAAATACTTCTGTAAAAGAGCAAGTACACTGGCTGCTATAGTAGCATCAGAGCTTCTAAGATGTTAACTGAGGCATGAAACACAAGTATCAGTTCAGTGGCTGGTACAGTTAAAAGGCATTCATATTTAAATTGTCAAAAAAATGACCTAATGGTAAGAAAGTTCTATTTTTATGTCTTAATGAACGAGATGAAAAAAGTGTGTGGAGGTCTATCTTGGTTCTCCTCCAGCAATTTATGTTTTAGCCTTTTGCCTTTTAGGAGTAACAGCAGTGCAATTCTAGAGGAATTCAAAGAGTAAAATTATAATAAACTGTGAAATAAATTCTTTGCAAACTGTCAAAGGAGAACCAGCTTAGATGTGTTCTATTTGTTTCCCATTTTATTTTCTCTACTGCATTGCTTTTCACATTCTGCAATTTATTAGAATGTGAATATATTCCATTAATGCAACCCAAGCCTGTGTTAACTGTTAGTGCCATCGGAAGATACCTTTTTGCTAAGCTTGTATTATAGACACCTCTTTGGCACTCACAAAGAAAATAAATGCCCCACTCCCATTGTTGCAATATGTAGCATGTCTAAATTCTGCATACGAGTAAGTAGTTCTCTTTATGTCATTTAAGAAATATAGCAAATGCATACAATTTCCTGTAACAAATCTGTTTGCAGGGGATGTGATCAACCTCGGAGATCGACAGCTCACTGTCATGCACATGCCTGGTCATTCACGAGGCAGTATTTGCTTACATGACAAGGACCGGAAGATTTTGTTCAGCGGAGATGTGGTGTATGATGGATCTATGATCGATTGGCTTCCTTACAGCAGTGTCAGCGACTACATTGCAAGCTGTCAGCGCCTGATGGACTTAGTAGATAGAGGTCTTGTAGAGAAGGTACTACCTGGGCACTTTAACATATTTGGAGCAGAAAGGCTGTATTGGTTAGCTTCCAACTACATTTCCCAAGCTGGAATTTGTCACAAGATTTCTGCCTGTGCTATGAGATCCATTGCAAGCATAGCACTTCATATTGCAAATTCAAGAATCACTTCTCAATGACAGTCAATTTTGTGTGATCTGTCACGTGCTGTAAAACCAAATGCATTGTGAAAGCGTGAATAGCAAGCAGAAGCAGTATGTCTTAGCAAAAAGATGGCCAATTGATACAGGTGAGCTTAAAAAATTCTCCCTGTTTTTTCCTACTTTATTTCTTCATATTTTTATAAAAACTCTGTAAACTAGTAGCTTTAGCCAAAGCTATAGTTTTTCTTTCTGCTTTTTCAGAGCATGTTTTTACATGTATTGCAATTGAAATATATTGTTTTATTTTTGTTACAACTCTGGCAGATGGATATATACGAAAATAAGAGGTTTTACATTCATGCCTGAAACCTAGTAGATATAGTACTAGATTTGTGATTATTCATCACTTCCTGTTCAGGTTTTGATGTAACAGAGCACTTGCTAAGACCTAGTGTGTGCTAGGAGCAGTGCCATTAGGTCACAGCAGGAGCAACATCTATGCAGGACTCAGTGAGCAGAACAAGATAATTCTGCAGCCACTGCCACCTGTTAGCATGGTATCTGCTGCACCTCTCACTACTTGAAGTTTTATCTTTGCAAAACACTCGTCTGGCAGTTTCTTTAGAATACACTAACACAAGGAAATTCTATAGACCAGACTTTCAAGCTGGAAGTCACAGATACATCAGTTTATCACAAAAGCTTTTGGTGCAGACAGAGTGTTGAGGCTTTCATGTTTCCTGGTGTGGTGCAAGGAACCAGTGCACCAGGAGTGAGGGAGCAGGCAGGAGCACTCTCACTCACCATTGGCTAGGGAACTGTTCTGCTTGTAGGCATGTGAGTTAGGAATTAGACCATTTGTGAACTAGAGAATTGATGTGTTACGTTACCCTGTACAAAGTGAATCGAGCTTTTGCTGGTTGTGTTTATTTTTTTCTGATCAGCTTATTAAAAATATTTGGAGAGCTTGTTGTTCTGGAAAGCTGAGAGAAAAGCTTTTTTTGTTTATGCTAAAGGGTATTTTTATGTGATGGTGTTGTAGCTTGGTTGTTAATCATCTCTGTTAGGGGGGATTGAAGCTTTAACAAGACCTTGCCATAGTGAAGGTGCTGCATTAAGCACCCAGTACACTTTTTATCACAAAATGAATGTAACTCAAATTGTTTACTGTTTGCATCCGAAGTATATGCTGCACATGGTTGTTCTGAAATGTAAAGTGCGTTGCATTGGGTTTGTTCCAAAAAAAAAAAAAATATTTGCTATATTGAGAAATGCTAAATAGCATTGTAATTTGCTTATGAAAATTGAATGTGTGATATTTAAAAGCTGCTGAAATGTTAGAGTTTGTGTAATTATTCTGACAGTTTGTACATATTTAGCTTTTTTTAATGGACACTGTCAGAATTTATTTTTGTACATAGAGATATATATGTTCCTAAAAAGACTACAAATGTTTCTCTCAAATTTTAGTGCAGTTGAACTTTTCTTGTTTGGCTTTCACTTTATGCAGAAGGTTTTGCCCCATCATAGCCAATCGTAAGGAAACCAGAGTGTAACACCTCCTGAGCGGCCACCGGGTATCGAGGCGCCGGCCAGCAGTCCTCTGGAGTGGCCGGTGGGTGTCACAAGAGTGGCCGCCCCTGGGTCTCTAATGAGATTACCAGGTGGTGGTGTGTGCAGCGGCGGTGTGGGTGACGCTTGCACAGAGGTGTCACCAAGATCCAAGACAGAGGGACAAAGGAGACGACACTTGCGTGTGGTCCAACGAGATTTTATTCCAGGAACAAGTCAGGGACAAGTGCCAAGGGGAATGGGGTCCGGTTACAATTTATAAAGGGTGTGGGTGTGAAAGGGTGGTGACATGGAATAACCAATGGAGACAGAGCACAGTATGATTACATCCTGGGTCATGACCAGTGGGGAAAAGACGGGAGGGGAGAAGCCTCAGGGGACCAACCAACTGCAAGAACAGGGGTGATTGACAGAGAACTTTTGAGAACAAAATGGGGGTGGCTACAATGATAGGGGAGGTGGGCAGCACAACTTGACACATCTATTTTAGGGTAAAAAGGAGAGGAACAGGGAGATTGGCACTCTGAATGACAGCTAAGTGGCGGGAAAACTTAGGGGTAAGCAACCTGGAAGAAACCATTATGAGGGGAAGGAATAGGGGTACAAGGAACATACCATCCGAAACTTTCTAACATTAAACTTCTAACTCATAACATCTTGCAAAACACACACCATCACATCAGAGGTTTGGGCTCTGTCTAAGGCATGAGGGAGAGGAAGCTGATAACCTTCTAAATAGATGCAAATTCTTGGAAGAAAGATCCAAATGTAGAAGAAAGACCAACCTATCACACTGAATTAAAAAAAGCATCTCTGTCTAAAAATGATAGAAGCAAGTATCTTATGTAAGGCTTTTTCCCTTTCATAGATGTCTGCACTCTTGCCTTTACTGTGAATATATTCTTTACCAAGATTTGTACTGATTGTTGTTGCCTAGTTCTTCTTAGAAGTGCCTATCTCCAAGCTGAAGCAAAACTGTGAGTGGGCAGGCCATGTGCAGAGATGCAGCACTTGAAGACCTGTTATCAGTCACTTCAGAGTTTCTTTTTTGTTGAGAAATCCATGTACATCAGTGTATGACATGGGGAGTGTTCAGTGGGTAGACTTATGTCATGAAATCAAGAAGTGTTTATCTTTGCCTCAGTTGGCAGAGGAAGAAATACAAAAACAGCCTAGGAAGCAGGCTGAAGGTACACATATCTCTAAAGCTTACATCAGTTATCCAGAGGATGCCAGGGTGTTACAGGTTACCTGATAATAATTGAATTCCTGCAAATTAGTTGACAGTGGTGTGAAGACTGTGGGAGCCCTGGTGGTAACTCTGTGCATTAAAGTAGTCACCCAAGAAATCCAAAGCCTGCCAATATGGATGTCAAGTTGCTAAAGTTTTGCAGATGTTCACTAGATCACTTTGCTATGAACAAAAAAATTTAAACTTTTGGGGAAATGTAGTTAACAATGTATATATATATAAGGTTAAATGTTTTTGGTACAAGTAACAAAGTGAGATTAGAAGTGTAGTTAACAATGTATGTACAAGGTTAAATGTTGTAGGTGCAAGCAACAAAATAGTGATTTGTCATATTAATCCTCAGTACTGTTATGCATGTATAAAGGGGGAGTGGAACTGGGGAGGAGATGGGGGTGCCAATCTTTGTGGAGGGGCAGGGAAGCTTCCAGAGGAAGCTTCAGCAATGGAGAAATAGACCTATCACGGCACGGATCTTGAGCGCCCCTACCAGGAGACAAGAAAGAGGCTTTATAAGGCCTGGGGTCTCTGATGCCCAGGTCTTTCCGGAGCCGCTTTCCTTGGAAACACCCCTAGGTTATGATCACTAAGTTGTTGAAACAGTCTCTGGACTAGCCAGAGGCTTTTGCTTCCAGTTGTTCAGTTTGTAATAAACAGGCTTACTTGTGTTTTAATCAACTAGCCTTCTTTTTATTACTTTAAAATTTTCTTTGTAAGCCTATCCATAACAACTTTGAATTAGCATCCTGTGTTATACCACTATCAGTTTGTTTATTTGATCCAATATTAGAATCTGTGTAGCCAGATTTTGTTGTGTTGTAAAGCCTGAGCTTTTACGAGAAGACTCACAGGCAATGTCAGTTTAAAAGGAAAGAATAACCTCTGTCCTCCATCATTTGTGTTTAAATCTGTGCTCAGTATTTCTATCAGCTAAGATCCTTAAATAGCCAGATCACTGTCAAAATGCCCTATTAAGCTATGCTTAAATCCACTAAGTGCTTAACCAAAACTTTGACTTTTTTCCTTTATCAAAATCTAGGGGATATTTTCCTAGCTCAGAAATGAACTTTACATGCACATAATCCAAAGTGGAGTTTGCTAGTAAACTGCTGCTATAATCCAAATGAAAGTAGTTTTTTTAGGGTCATGTTTTTTCTATTATAAGAAATTCACTACCAGATAATATTTAAATGATCTTAAGTTAAAAGAATGATTTCTGATTATTTTTATTAAGACTTACCAAATTTTAATTGTAAGAGTTTGACAGTGGTCCTTTAACACTACTTGGATTAAATATTTTTAAAATATATTGTAAGTTTAAATACTGTGTCATGTAAGCATTTAGACCTGTGTTTATTTCTTTGTTACATCTAAATATGTGTTAATGTAGTTTTCAGTAGACTGGGGAGTTGACATAAAAATCAGATGGGAAGTTTTGTTCTGTAATCTGTCAAGGCTGTTATGATATTAAACAACAGTTTGCACATAATAAATTTTTTTCATGTATTGTCATAATAAAAATTATAACCCTATGCAGTTAAGTAATAATTTCTAGGTATATCTCAACACAAGCACTTTTCATTCTAGATGGAGTATATTTACAAGTTGCTTGCAAAATTATTTATGCTTCTGAGAAAGACACTGCATTAAAAATGTTTACCCATTATACATGCACTTTGCCTTGTAAGAGTAGTCATCTGTAGCCAAAGAAAAACAAAATAATGCAGCTCTGTTATGGAGAGTGTGAGGGAGATAAAGGTGGAGGAAAAGGAGGATTTATTAATATTTAATGTTAAAAATCTAGGTCTCAGCATTCAACCAACACTGGTCCAAGTTCCTATTTATGCATATGTAACTTAAATCAGTAAGCACTATCTCTTGGTTCTAAAAATTCAACCGTGTATTATCCAAAATACTGCTAGTCCATCTAAACTCCTTTCACTTTCAAATTGAATTAGGAAGTATAAAAATGATTGAGAAGCAATGAAAAAAACCATCATTATGTTCTATTTTAAATTTATTTGACGTTAACTATTACATGAGGGAGCTGCTAGGCAAAACATTCATCTTCAGCATGGTTACTCCTAACTACTCAGACTTTATTGGACAAGCTGTCTTACAATAATTTAAAACTTATTGATTAAAAAATTATTTTAGAGCTAACTGTGAGTATTCCCACACATGCCCAACAGGGTCCTGGGGAGGCAATGAGGCATTCAACAGAAAATAAAATTGGGAAAGTAAGCAAACAAGCAGCAAAAAGAGGCCTGACATGGAAAAAGGCACAGAAACTTAGTCAACATTGCTGTGATTGTGCCAGGTATTTCCCAGCAGTTTGACCCTGATGCACAAAGAAGTTCATTCACAATCATCAAACTGCCAATGATACTTGGTATGTTTTTAATTTGACTTTATATTTGTACATATTATTTGTTCTAAGAGTGACATGAACAGAACTGTTTTGACTTGCATGAAATCTTACCCATCTTCTCCTTTAAAAAATTCAGGATTAATTTAATTACAATTCTGATATGTGATCTGATTTTGAGCAGCTGGGATGAGGTTTATAGTCTTTGCATACTCAGATTCAATTTAGGACAACAGAGTGGTAGGATAGTTTCCTAATACTAATAAAATTAGGATTAGAGAAGAATATAGCTTCACTCAAAGGGAAGACAGACCTGGCAGACAGCCCCACAAATTACTTTTAAAAAGCAATAAATGAGTTTGAAAATTAAGTAAAAGCTAGTAATGTTTTTTCTGGTTATGCTATGCTTTAAGTATATTTCATTATTAATTATTTTCCTTATTAAGCTGAGAATATGTTTGTGTGAGAAACATGCTAGTGCATTCATAAGTGGTCATTTTAGGACGGGTTTAATCAACTTTGAAAATGCAAGGATTTACAAGTCACTACTACCACAACCATGTACTTATTTTTAGCTATTATTACTTGAGCCTATTATTACTTGAGCCTATTATTACTTGAGCCTGTCTTTTCTCTTTGGAATTCTGTGCATCTCCATTTCACATGCAGTATGAGCACTGCTGCTAACTTAATGAAGAGTGGCACTTTGGTTTCTGGAGCCACTTTTTAGCTTATAAATTTAGAAGTAGGGACATGAATGTGGATCTTCAGTTCCCAGAAGCACACCCAGACTATCAGTATCAGGTATCTCACTCTGCTTGACAAAGAGCAGCCAGGGCACGGGTGCACCATGAGAGAGGACAACCTGGAAGCAAAGCACAGTCACAACACTGGCAGGGATTATGAACTCCCTGCAGAGTAACTTGACCTGTCAGCAGCCCAGCGACTGCAGACAATGGCAAGGTCATGACTCAAGGTCATGGCCAGGCCACAAAGTCTGTAAATATGTCAGCAAGAGCAGCACACAGTACAAGACGGGAATAACCCCAGCGCAGCTCAGGCAAGATCCAAGACCCTATGCTGAGACCCAGGATCAACACGCAGAGGAGGTGAGAATGGGGGTGAAACAATTTGGGGCTCTTGGTGCAGCTGGGGGCTACTTGTGCTACTTTCCCACACTTAAATCACCATTTGGTTAATGCTTCCTTTTCTCTCTGGACAAGTAAATGTGTTCTATGAAACATAAAAAAAAAAAAAATTAATCTGTGGTTATATTTGCACCACAGTACAGGCTGAGGGTCAAACCTGCCAGTAATTTATGCTTTTAGTTGCAAAGCTACTGTCTGTAAACAGAGGTCAATTACAAACCGCTTGCCTCTGCCTATTTGATCTGTGGACCAGGCATAATATGAACAGACAGCAAAATAGGTTTCATCTCTTCTTGACTTTGCTCAGGAAAAATGTGTATTGAGCAAGCCAAACTCTACATATTGAACACTGTGTACTCCATGTACATAATAGTTTATTACCGGAAACACGGGTGCAAAACATCTCCAAGACAAGCTGTCAGGACTGAAACGCCTGAAGGAATTTTTCATTGCCTGAGAATTTTCAGTCTGTCTAGCCAGACTGCATAACATAGGATCTGAATAACATAATGGTCCAGTTAGTAACACTGTACTATGTTGTCAAAGCTAGTTATGAAACAGCCCTTTTTTATGAAGAAAGACACAGTGACAATTACTTTGTCACACACCAGAGCACTGAGGCAGCGCTTTGCAGAAATCTGAGTTTTCTCACCAGTGATATGAGCATTTTCTCTACACAGATATGTAATGGTGATTCACTGACTGTTTTGCAAGACACAGTAATATTAGTGTCAATGATAACTGGAACTATACATAAGGTCTTCCAATCTCCACACAGTACATATTGCTTTTGTTATGAATGGGGTCTCATATGTCCAATTTGATAAATCACAAGATTGCAATTTAGCAGCAATTTTTAATTGGGGTATAAAATAATAATAATACTACAATCAAATGTAATGAAGTGCTTACAAAGAGTAATTTGACAATGGTTCAGATAAAGCATAAGTGAAACCAATCAGGGTATGGAGAAGGCTTCTTGTCCTGCTATCCATAAAAAGGGCAAAATGATCCAAACAGAAATTTTATACTGTATGCTAATACATATTCATCAATATTTCCTGTAAATCTCCTCCCATTTTTGATTCTTGAAATCTACATCACTAATACTACACAGCGCATCCTCCTGTTGTTGCTATGGGATCTCCTGGGCTTTTTGGTGGTCTTGGAGGAAGGCCAAAGGTCTTCCTTACTTGTCCTCTGGATAACCTGGCAGGTGGCACATGCACATTAAGTTTGGTGTTATGTAAGTAAGCACTATTTTCCAATTAAACCTTATTTATCTCATAGATAAGACCACTATTTTAGACTCCCTGTCTGGAATTGTCCCAACTTTATTCATCTCCAAGGTTGGTCCTGCTCTGGGAGTTGTCTCATTCCATCTTGATGCCAGTTTTGGTTTGGGAGTCTTCCTGACTTTGTCCATTCCCAAGGCCGAATCCAACTCCTACATCCTGCTTTCCACTTGTATTCTTGAAGAAACCCGTCCGCTTCATAACACTAATCACATGCACTTTTCCAATTATTTTTCCAAATTATTGGTTTAAGTACAACTTATTCAGCACGAATCACATCTATTTATCACACTTTCAATCAAATTTTTAGCAAGGCAAAATCTGTACAAGTGCCAGAAATGCTTCTGTAAATGCCACTTTTGTGTCCATCTCCACAGCCCACTGCACCTCCAACAGTTGGACTGAAGAGTAGCGAGCAGGCTCTGGGGGCATGGGGAGTTCTTCTGACACAGACACCAGACGTTCTACAGCAAGACTAGTAGACGTGCTGACCACAAAAATCAGATTTATAACCCAGTGTGCAATAAGCCAGTAATTACACACTTGAGGGAGACATGGATTATTTGTTTTAGAGTCGCAGAAGCCTGGGTGCTGCATTGTATTCCATGAGTCAAGCACACCAACTATCAAAACTCTTTAGTATTTTGTGTATTTATACACATTTTAGCAAACAAATGCATTAATGTTCACTGGCTTCAGGTTACATCGTTCTCTTATTAATTATTATTCTATATTCTGTTGTTAATAATTCTCTTATTTCTCATGCTAATTAGTCACATGCCCAGTCCTTCTCTTGAGTCGGTGGGCAGCTTGGTAAGTGATCTGCTGGAACTGGAGCTCATTCAACACAGTTGCTGAGTTGCCTTTATTAATTTCTTCCGTATCTTGGGAGTTCTGCCAAATGTCCTTGGAGTCTATAAATTCCGAATTGTTTGTTTGATATTGAAACACGTCGTGCCCTAGACCTTAACAAGGAAATTAGGACTAAAGATTTGTCTTTCTAACCCCTGGACATTATTTTAACCTTGCTTAGTAGCGTCTATCTGTTTCAAGGATTGAATCTCCTTCCTTGTTGATTAGGCTTGAAAATCAAGATCAAACATCGAGAAATCCTTCCTTAGGGAAACTTTCCCGCGGCGCCCGCTCGGCGGCAGACGCGGCGCGGCGGCCGGAGGCGCGGCCGGGAGCCACCGCCCGCTCTCGGCGGGGCCCGCCCTCTCCGCGCTGAGTGGCAGGAGCTCAGCCAATGGCAGCGCGCTCAGGGCTCGCAGGCGGGACTTTATCGCCCCTCGGCCAATCAGGTTGGGGACTCGGTAGGGGCGTGGCCTAGCGGCGTCGCTAAGGGCCGGAGAGCGGCGCGGCCGGGCTGGGACGCGGCCGGGCCGTGCGGGGCCGTGCGGGGCAGTGCGGGGCGGGGCAGGGCAGGGCAGGGCAGGGCGCGTTTGCCGGACCCGGCGCGTTTGCCGGACCCGGCTGCGGCAGCGGCACCATGAGCCTGGCCCTCAGGTCGGTACGAGCACGGCGCTTCCCTTGCTTGCCCGCTCGGGGCCCGCAGCGCGGTGTGGGTCCCTCAGGGCCACGCTGCCCCCTTTGGGAGGCCGTGGCGGGGCCTGGGTCATCGCCGGCCTTCAGCCGGTCCCATCTGATCCCTTCGGCGGGCCGGGCCGGACCAGGCCCGTCTTTCTGGCCGGAGAAAGAAGGGTCCGGCGCGTCTGGCCTTG